GGGATAGGTGGAAGTGAAGAGTACGGGGGTGGTGGGGGAGGGGGTGGAGGGGAGGAGGGATGACCCACGCCTAAGGACCCAGGGGAGGTGGGAGTGCAACGCGAGGGGAGGGAGTGGTGGAGGAGGAGGAGGGGAGGGGAAGGGGGCGCTGGAGGAGGAGGAGGAGGAGGAGGGAGGGAGGAGGGGGGGGAGAGGTGACCAGAGCGGGAGGCGGGGAGGGGAAGGATTGTCATGGGACTGTCGTGGACTACGTGAGGAGCCGTTCGCGAACGGGGCCCTGGCTGAATTCTTGAAGCTCTCGCAGGTGAAGCGGCGCGCCCTGCCCCTCCCACAGTGTCGCCCACCCCAGCGTGCTTAGCTGGCGAGGCTAACGTCCTGCTGGGCTACACCCTCTCACAGCCAGCGTCGCCGAAGATGTTCCTCGCACTGTGGCAGGATATCTTACGGCTCCACGGGCGATGTTGGCCGCCTCCTTCGCACAACAGTGCCATTGCCTCTTTATTTTAGCAGCTGAGACTGTTGGGTTCACCAGTCCCGCGCACCTTTTGAGTACCCTGGTCCCCGCCAGCGGGCGGGGGTCGTCGGGCCAGGCTGGGCACTGCCACGTGCGCTCTGGCCTCCGATGTTGGCACCGCCTGCTCGCATGCCCTGGTCCCCGCCGTCTGTGCAGATGTTGTCGGGCTCGGGCTGGCCTTCACCAGCCCCTCGCCCGCTTCTTGACAACACGACTGTCCGTGCGCCCGCCGCGGGCCGCGGTGTCCTGCCCGATCGCTTGCGCAGAGCCGCTGCTGCAGTGGCGAGATGCCTCGGCGGGCTCCGCGCTGTCCTCTTCCCCCTGGGACACCGCAGGATCCTCCTCGTGTGTGTTTACCTCTCATAGGAGTCGCATGATGCTTTGAGCGGTCACCCCGCTGTGTGCTTCGGGGGTCCCTGGGTCCGTCTGGGCCTCGCCCCGTGTTCTCTCGCCTCCCTCCCTCCGTGCTCCCGAGGGTCGAGGATGAAGAGTCGTTCGTCCCTCGCAGCATCTGTCGTCCCGCGAAGCGACTGAGGGCAAGGGACGTGGACGTGCGCGCCCGTGCCGTCACCTCTCCTCCCTCGTCGTCGTCGTCGTCGGTTCCATTGTCAACAGTTTCTTCTACAGCCATGAATACCTATCCTTGGAAACCAGCCGCCTTCATAAGCGAGTTGGGGCAATCATCAAAATGGGTTCTGAGATTGGCCCGCAGGCCGGTCCACCGCCGAATTCAGGCTATGAGCCGAAGCAGTGCGAAGCAGCGCGGTGCATTGCCAATCAGATTTGACTCGGGAAATGCACGGCAGGCTGGTAGACAGTGGCAACCGGGTTGCGGACAGGTCATGCTTATTGACCGTGCCACAGGAAAGGGCCAGACCCATCCACCTCGAGCCGTTGGAAGGGCTCTTGCGGCGGGGCAGCCCGCCGCTGGCGCGGCAAGATGCCGTATGGGATCGGAAGGAGCGAGATTTGCCTCTCATCCCGTGCCGCCTGAGAGCACGGGCGGAGGCTTCAGCTGCTAGAGCGATAGATCCGAGGCGCCACATCCTTGCGACCAGGCTCGGCAAGTCCCACCTCGTGCTGTGGAGCAACACTTGTCGAGGCCGCAGGCGGGACTGCGAGGATGGTCCACCGCAGCCGCCGTGGAACGACATATGTCGACCTCAACTGCCGAGCAAGTTGCCAAAGCGTCACAGTAGATACCACAGTAGTAAAGCAGGACGTTCGAAGAACAATAGTAGTCCAATCTTAACATTTTGCGATCGTCCTTCGCAGAGTTCGCAAGTGCCTCTGAAAAGTGCAGCAAGCTCAGAGTGTGGACCCTCAGGCTCGTGAGGTCATCGGGAATGTTTTCGCGGCAAGCGCGTAAGCCCAAGAGTCGGACCTACGACTGACGGACCAAAGGTTGGCATTTCTGATCGAGTGCATCAGTGCAGTGGAGAACTTGCTTCAACATCCACTTCAAACTGCGCCATAAGCATGCGAAGCGCGGTAGCTTCTACAGACGCTCAAGAATCGCGTCCTTAAGCTGGAACGTTGAAGCAAAGAGTCATTTCAACAAGTGGAGTTCGCTGCAGCATCGTGGGCACAGTGCAACATTTTTACACATCTTTTTCCAAATCCAAGAAACACTGTCAGCAATCGCATTCCTCCAAGAAATATTGGAGAGCACGGATGGACAGTGTTGCGTGAACGGCGACGTGGTTGGCATGCAAGAGGCTCTGCTACCGGACATGCGGGTGGCAGCATGCAAACTCTGTATGATAGAGCTCGCGGGTACGAACAGGTCAGCGCCAATCTAAGTGACCAGGTATGCAACAACAGCGATCCACACGTCGCCAAGGTGGATCGAATTCGCAATGAAGCCGCGACAGAATTGGGCTGAGAACATCGTGCGTTGCTGGGCGCGGCGAGCATGTGACAGGAATGGCTGGGGCGACAGGAGATGAGGATGGGATGGGGGGGGGGGTTGGCGGGGAAGGGAGGCAAGGTGGCGGGGAGGAGGGGATGGGCGTCGCCACTTCGGCTCGAGCGCTCGAGGCCGGCGCGATCCACCGCCGCGATGGTGGCCACCCCAGAGCCCACGGCATGGCTGGCCGCGGGCGATGACGCTTGGCCGCCCACGCCAATCGCGGGCTGGGGAGCCGGTGTCTCCAAGAGTGGCGGCCGTGGGCCTGGCCAGCCTGGCCAGCCCCAGATTTGGGGAGGGGGAAGAGGCCGAGGAGGGAGGGGGGAGGAGGAGGGGAGTAGGACGTGACCTGCGCGGCACGGCGGGAGGGAAGAAGGGGAGGGAGCGGGAGAGGAGGAGGGGAGGAGGAGGAGGAGGAGGAGGGAGGAGGAGGAGGAGGAGAGGAGGAGGAGGGAGGAGGAAGAGGAGGAGGAGGAGGAGGGGAGGAGGCGGAGGAGGAGGAGGAGGAGGAGGAGGACGAGGAGGATTAGAGTAAACGTCATATGCACCAGCGGTGCTACAATACGCCCGCCCGTCCCGAATTTTCTTGTAAGCTCTACAGTAATCCTTGTATCACCACCAGGAACGCCCCATAGCAATGGGCACCCATTGTGCATGCGATTCAGGCGACGGCTTGGTTTTGAAAAGGAGCTGTTTTGCATTTCCTGCGACATATATACGTACACAAAGATATACATGTTCTTATGTATATGTATTTTGGAATATGTATATTCGTACATACATATATATACACGCATGAAAAACGAACGCGACACATTGTGATCGTACACATTTGTAGTGCGTCCAGCGAAAGCGTTGCTTTGAAACTGATCAGCTCACACATCCCTGTAACTATTGCACAAGTTCATTTATTTTTGCTATATGTGCGGATATCTAAAGCGAGAGCTCCAGCTTGAAAAGGAACTGCGTCGGTTGAGCGTTCTGGCAAGCGTGTGCGACGAACATGCGCAGTGCTGAGGCCACAGCCCATGTTGAGAAAATCTATGTCCTTTCAATCTTTGCAGTTTGTGCAGGCTTGTATGACGAATGTGCGCCGCGCTGAGGCAAGAGCACAATTTTGAAGGCCACCTCCATTCTTGTAGCTGTTGCAGACTGTAACGACGAGGGTGCGCGGCTCTAGGGCGAGAGCCCAAGCGCGAGAACGATCCAATCTGCAATATTGTAACAGTTGTAAGCTTTCTGACCAATGTGAGCAGCATAGGGCGAGATCCTCACTTCCCCCCGTCCATCCTGGTGGCTGTCGCAAGCCGTAAGGGCGAATGCGCGTGGTGCTATTGCGGGAGCCCCACTTGGAGAGCGACCACACCCCTATTCCTGTAGCTGTGGCAAGGCTTTGGACGGTAAGGCGAGATCCCCATCTTGACAAACACACACCTCCACCGTTGTGGCTGTTTCGAGCTGTAAGTACGAGTGGGCGCGCCGCCGAGGCGAGAGCCCCACTTCGAGAACGAACGACCCCACTTGCGTTCCTGTAGCTGCTGCAAGCCCCCAGACGCAGGTGCGCGGCGCTGCGGGGAGAGCCTCATTCCGACGACGACTCCCCCTCCATGTTTGTAGCCGTTGCAAGATTTCGAGCTTCAGCATCAGATGTGGCGATGAAGTCACAGGCGAAACGCCCCGTCCGCTCTTCCGACACGTCTTCGGGTGCGACAGGGAAGAGTTATTTGCAAGGAGAAAGGTGGAAATGATGTCAGCTTGCCGACAGAGCCGCGGGTCGCCTCAGGGGACGATTTGGTCTTGGTGCTCGTGGTCCTTGCCGAGAGTTTTGTATGGGCGCGATGGGGAGGCGTCGATCTTTGTTCTGATGACGGTTGTCATAACGGTCATGACGAGGGCCATTGCTTGCCAGGCTTCCCTGGATGAGAACAGCTTCTGGCCAGTCGGAGGACGGTACCACGACGACGAAGATGGTGGTGGGGATGTCGGCAACGACGGCGATGGTGAGCATGATGACAACGACGATGACATCGTCGTCGGCATCATTATCACAGCCCAGAGATCCGATGTCTAGGCTTTCTCAATACGCCCCCCCAGAGATTTGGACCTCCTCCTCGGGGCCAGCTCTTCGGCTGGAGCCTTTTCTCTACGGTCCCGCGGCCTGGCGAGGGCCCCCGGAGGGCGAAGAAGGCCAACAACCTTCGCCCTGAGCCTCTCCAGACGTTGGAGGTCGAGGAGGAGGAGGAGGATGAGCAGGAGGAGGAGGAGGAGGAGGAGGAGGAGGAGGAGGAGGAGGAGGATGAGGAGAGGAGGGGACGAGGAGGAGGAGGGGAGGGGGGAGGGGGAGGGGGAGAGGAGGAGGAGGAGGAGGAGGAGGAGGAGGAGGAGGAGGAGGAGGAGGAGGGAGGAGAGGAGGAGGAGGAGGAGGAGGAGAGGGAGGAGGAGGAGGAGGAGGAGGAGGGGAGGAGGAGGGGGAGTGGGAGGGGGAGGGGGAAAATGAGGAGGGACTTCACACGCCAGCCTCTGGGTCGGGGCCGCGCCGCTCTTGGCCGCCACGGGCTCCCCCGGCCTGGCGCCCAGCAGCCCAGAGGAGGTCGCCCCCCTGCCAAGAGGGCGGAGCCGCTCGGACGTGGAGGACAGCGGGGGGGTGGGGGTAGGGTCATCCTCCGCCTCCTCCTCCTCCTCCTCCGCCTCCTCCGTAGCCATTTTGGCTCAACATGTTTTTTTCCCCCCTGGGAGCGAGACGGATACCGCTAGTCCGCGGCCAGTTCCAACCTATTCGTGCCAGGGCCTGATCCGCCTCAGGTCCCTGGGTGCCTCCTGCTGCCCGCAGGTGAGCACGCGCGCGACGCGGCTTGTGGCTGTGTGGCTGGCCTTGCTGTACCTCCTGGGTACGGGCGGGGGACCATGGCTCCTGGGGGCCGCACCGAGCCGACGCCCGACTGGTACTGCAAGTTCTGCAGGCACGAGCGTGTGTCCAAGCTCGGGATGCCCTGCGTCACGTTCGGGGCGAAGAAGCAATGCCACTTCTGTGGGGTCGACAAGTCAGCGGCCTTCCTCTGGAGGGCTTGTGGAGATGAAGGGATCCCTCGCCGCCGCCCGCCGAACGGCCCAGGTGCCGCTGGCGGGCCTGGAGGGGGGTCCCGCCTGAGCTGCATGCAGGTCGCCCAAGGATCCATGTAGAAGGAGATGGCGAGGCTGCGGGAGGAGGTCAACGCGCTGCGAGCTGCCAACAAGGGCAAGGGCCAGCTTCCCGAGGCGGCGATGGCCACTGAGGAGGATGACGCTGATTAAGCCTCACGGGAAGCCCTTGCGCAGTTCGACGAGGAGCTGCGGAGCCTACGTGGCATCCCGTCGCCGTCGCAGCTCGTCAAGGACACCATCGACAAGCTGGACGAGCAAAAGTCCAACAGCTGGTGGAGGAGGCCCGTTCGAATATCAGACGTTAGTTATAACATCGCGGTTTCATCTGTTGCCGTGGCCTCTCCTTGCTTCCGCTTTCCTGCTTGCCCTCCTCGCCTTTCTACTCCTGTCTCCCGCCGTCCTTTGGCTCCAGCCAGTTCGGCGATATTTTAGCTGTGGTGCAAACCTGCACTTTTCGAGGTGGGCAGGCGCAGCCATGGCGCGGCCCGCTCACCTGGGGGCTGCCCTCCGCGGGTCTTTCCCGTGAGCGCCCCTCGCCCGTCGCCCAGCGGGGGCGGTGGCAGCCCGGGCCAGAGCGGGCCCGGCACTGCGGTGCGGCGCCGTCTGCGTCGCGGCGGCCGAGGGCGGCGTGGGCGGCAGCCGCTGGGGCGGCCGACGCCGAGGCGCCCGCGGCTACGCGGCGAAGAGGAGGAGGAGGAGGAGGAGGAGGAGGAGGAGGAGGAGGAGGAGGAGGAGGAGGAGGAGGAGGAGGAGGAGGAGGAGGAGGAGGAGGAGGAGGAGGAGGAGGAGGAGGAGGAGGAGGAGGAGGAGGAGGAGGAGGAGGAGGAGGAGGGCGCGGGAGCGCGCGCTGGCTTGAAGAGCAGCGGGCCTGCGCCAGGCCCTGGCGCGGCAGAGCGCGACGCGTTGAGCCGTGCCAGAGTGGCGATGGCGGCCCTCGCAAGGGTGTTCTGCGGAGGAGGCGAGGCGCACCTCGGGCACCCCTGGGAGGCGCATGGAGGCGGACCGCCCGGCCGAGGATCGGCTCGCAGCGGAGGGCGAGCAGGCCGGGCGGGAGTGCGAACTCGCCTTGAAGCGTGCTGCTGCTCAGGATGCGGCGGAGAGGCGAGTGGTGGATGTTGGGGGCCTCCAAATCAACCGTGGCCATTTTGGCTCAAGTCATATCGATATTGTGCTTCCCATCGGATGCTCTTTCTACTGTTTGTGCATTCGATCGTTGACTTCCCTTCTCTTGTGAACTCGATCGTAGAGGAATGATCCGCAAGGGGACGCCTTCAGTGGGTCAGTCGCCGGAGGGCAAGCGCAAGAAGGGCAGCGACCCCGACGTCTCCAGGATGTCGGACAGGGAGATCCTCGTCGATCTTTACAGAATGGTGCACCAGCACTCGACCGACATCAACGATGTCCGCGACGCCGCAGACCAAGCATCCACCACGGCGGCGACGGCAATGGAAGCAGCAAGGAAGCTACAGGCGCAAGTCGACGACATCAAACGATCACCAACAACAGTGAGGACACGAACGAGCTACGAATCACAATCACGAAGAAAGCTTCCGCCATGATCAACAGGGATAGCGACAGGGACTTACAGGTGATCTTCAGTGGGCTGGCGTCGGAGATCCCACGAGATGACATTATCCAGCAGATGGCCGACATTCTCAACGAAATCAGCGTCATGGGCAATTTCAACAGCGCATCCGCCTACAGCGACCCGCGCAACATGGGCATATCACAGTTCAAAACACATGCTGGGAAGGTAGGCTTTCTGAAGAAGTGGCGCGGCAAGGAGGCCGAGTTGAAGACTGGCGACAAATGATGGTGCGACAGCAACGACCCAATCGAAAAACGCTCCGTGGACAAACCGCTCGGACAGGTGAGGCGCCAGCTTATAGAGACGGGCCTTGCACATCAGTCTAGCCGCATATTCTGGGATAGAGGTACAATCGAATACACATTCAAGCTTATTGCAGACATCATTGGGGGCGGCCAGCTGACCGCATGTGGGGAGGGGGACAACGTCAAAGAGGGCGTCGAAGCATTTATGGCGAAGTGGAAAGCGGCGCGAGATCTGCAATGACGGCGGCTCCCAACAGTGAACCAGGAAGTGCTCCAAAGGAGCCGCTGGCGGCGGGCGTCCACGGCGACGTGCGCAGGGGGATGCAGTTTCACCTTCGACCTCAGGCTCCAACTGCGACTGGGGGCCTCTACGTGGACATGGCCATCGTTCGCTCCGTGTGTCTCCAACCTCGGCTTCTACGATTCCGTCTCCAGCATCCGGCGCCCCACCCCCGCCTCCGCCAAGCGGCCTCCAGCGCCCGCCATCCACGTGTCTACCTCCACCTGTCGACTCCCAGCTCCCAGCGACCCAGCATTCCGATCATCGACCTCCAATGTCCGACCTCGCACTCTCATCTCCGCCCCCCCTCGGGGGTGTGCATCCGCGGCTGGGGCAGCATAGGCACTTGCAGCGACAGCGACTACCTCTACCCAGCATCGGCGGCGGACGAGGGCGATGCAGCCACTCAGATGGCGACGTGCCATGGGGCCTGCGACCGACGCGCTCTTCCAAGCAGCATCCGACGCTGACCGCGTAGCATCCGACGGCGACAATCACAGCGCGCGCACCCACTGCAGCTTCCCAACAAACCGCAACCAAGACTGCACGACGCAGTAACGACGATGGGAACATCACGGTCATGTATAAAACACGCCCGGAGCCTCATTAACGACGCTGCGAGCGACCTTCTCGTGGAAGAGCTTTCAGACATGCGATGGGGCGCTGTGGCGGACAGAAAGGCGAACATATTATTGGGTCATTGAGCCCGGCGTGCGCAGATTCGCAGCTTCCGGGCATGACTGTCCGACGCGAGGCTTTGCGTTCTTAGTCCACAAGCGACGTGCGCGACGCGCGCGAAGATTCACGGCTGCGAACGAGCGGGTCGCCTGCATCGACGTCGGCTTCCCGCGACGACCGCTCCGAATCGTCGCGGCTGACGTCCCGCGCGGGGCGTGCGGTGACCAACGCGTGCACTGTGCGTGCGACGGACTTGCAGATGTGCACGCCGACGCCCGCCCACTGCGCTGGGCGACCGTCATCGCGGGGGACTTCAACGCGCGAGTTGGCAAACGGAGCGACGACGACGACGACTCCAGCACTCGCTGGGCAGAAAGACGTATTATCGGCAACCGCGGGCAGAGCGGGTGCAACCAGCGCGGCGCTGGGCTGCGATCGTGGGCGCGCAAGAGCAAAGTCGCAGTTGCGAGCGCTATGTTTTGCAAGCGTGTCGACGGCGTCTCCGCGCGCGCGAGCGCTGGCACCAACCGCGGGCAAGCGCAGACCGACAGGGGATAGCAGACGTCTTCGCGGACTTCTATGAGGAGTTGCACTGGCGCCCTGAAAGCACAACCTTACCAACGCCCAACAGCTCCCCTGACGCCCGAGAAAAATCAGCACGGCGGCTTCGACAGAGCATTCCGCCTTTCACCCACGAGGAGTTGCACCAAACAGTGCAGCACCTAAAAAACGGCAAGTGCAAGGGCGCGGCTGGGCTCGCCGAGGAGCTGTTGAATGCAGGGGGGGGGGGGGGGGGGGGGGGCCGCGATTGAGAAGCACTTGCTGGCGCTATTCAACCTCATTTGTAGCACCTGAGCAGACGCCGCCGGAACAGTGCAGACACACAACCATCGGCGTAATCTATAAGTCCAGAGACCGGCAACTACCAAGCATCTACAGACCATCCGCCATCATGCCGTTACTATACAAACTCATGTCCCGACTACTTTGCATCCGACTTGACATGCCCTTCGACGCACAGCAATCACCGGGCCAAGCTGGCTTCCGCAAGGGCCTGGGCACAGAGGAACGCCTTCGCTGCCACTTTACTTTGCGAGCAGTCCTGGGAATGGCAGCTCCCGCTCTGGACCGGTGCTATCGATGTCAAGAGGGTTTTCGACTGCGTCGACCACTCGTGTTTGTGGGGAACCCCGAGGAAACAAGATGCGCCGGAACCCCGCATCACCTTGCCGCAGAATTTGTACAACGCCCAAATTGCCACAATAAGGGCCGACGTCAGAAGCAGACAATTCTACATCGAGCGCGGCGTCAAGCATGGGGGCCCAGTCAGCAAGCATTCGTTCAGCGCGGTACTCTAGCACATATTCTGAGACCTTAAACCAACTTGAACACGAAAGGGCTTCGGCATACAAGAGGGAAGTGCACAGACGACGCGCCTGACCAACCTGAGGTTTGCTGACGACGTATTCCTCGTAGCACCCAGTCTACGACAACTCAAGTGTATCTTGCGAGACCTCAAACACGAAGCTGCGAAGTGTGGACTTGCATTGAGCCCCGACAAAACGAACGTCCCCACGCGTGTTAGCAGTCGGCAGGGGCGATGCATTACATGCGTGGACATCGACGACGACAAGGTCGAAATCCTGAGCGCCGAGGAGAGCGCCAAGTACCTTGGTCGCAAGCTGACGTTGCACGACTTCCACC